TAGCTGCTTTATGATCAGAGCTCAGCAAAGTAGTCAGCAAAGTGCCGGCTGTATTGGAAACAGCAAAACCATAACTGGTAGCGCCGAAAACGATATCTGCTGTCAGAGAATCTGTTTTCAGGAAGTTATAATTACCACAGTCCAGCAAGCGTGTATAAGCCACCAGATCGATACAGCTACCCGCGCTATAAGAGGTGCCGGATTCTGTACCTGTTACCGCATAAGAAACGGGTGCGATCAGCGTAGCGCCAAGACCTGTAACATCAATAGCACCGCCCGGATTGGTACCGCCAAACTGTGATGGCACCTGTACGGTATATCCGGGTTCGCCGGGGTTAGCTGCGGTTACCGTTGGCTGGGCTGAAGATCCGAACCAGTTGCAGGTAGCACTATAGCCAGTAAAGGAGGACGGTGATAATGTCTGGTTGGAATTGTTCTGATAATTAATACCGGAATACCAGTTGCCATAAATAGCATTCTCGGCTATCTGCATATTGGTCACCACTACTTCTGCACCGAAATCTGCATTGAACAGGATACCATGCGTAAAGTTGTTACGGATGATATTATTCTTAATCACAGAGCCGCTTACATCACGGCCAAAGTGGATACCGGTACGGTTATCTTCGATCAGTGAATTGGTAATGGTTGTGTTAGGCGCGTTCTGTCCATAAAAGCCATTACGGTTTCCTTTCAGGATCATTTTGTTGATGGTAGTACCACTCACATTATTGCCCAGGCCAATACCTTGTCCTTTAGTAGAGGCAAACCAGGAAGCAGTATCCGTACCAAAATCCCTGGTCACGGTAAAGCCTTCTACCCACACATTATTTTGCGTGATGGCTACTGTATGACCAGAGCCTGCATACAAACCTTTGATCAAGGTAACATCGGCGCCAGCACCCACTAAGCGAAGTCCTGCTTTATGGATATTCACATCCTCATGATATTCCCAGGCAGCAGCCGTTAAGCTATCGCCGGGACTTGCCGCATCAATAGCCGCCTGTATGGTTGCATAGCGGAACAGAGTTGGTGAGGAAGCA